ATAGTATGTATATTATATATTTTACCATGAAAGAATATTAATAAGAGTTTAGACCACTCTAGAGCAGCGAAAGTCACCTTATAAAAATTTTATTTCGAGAAATCAACAAAGATTATATTTAGCTTTCTTTCTTAGGGATATAATTCAAAACTGATAAAAAATATTCATTGAGAAAATAATCTGATCCAGTTTTTATCTTAAAAAAATATTTGAATTTTCATTGAGCAAATAGTCTTCTGCAAGTTTGGAATTGGAAGAAGAGTCAATTTTCGTTTGCTTTTTTTTTTTTTTGTTTTTGAGAAAATATAATAGCTTTCTGTAACTTTGAACGTTAAAAAAAATATCAAAAATCTTGCAGGCTTAAATAGAAATAGCACAATGAAGTAATGCATCACTTAAGGAAATTTCGGAAAAAGTTCAAAATTCGTATAAATCATTTATATGTAAAATATATGTTTTTTTCTTTTAATCCACAGTGCTTTTACTCAAAAACTCATTACCCTAGTAGCTAATAGTGCCTAGACACCACACACCTTACACTACCAAGCTTTTACTCTAAAATTTGTATCACCTGCGTAAAGTTGCTGCATAAAATTCCTTGAAATCTGTGCGATTTCACACATTTATTTGCACCAATTCGACGAACAGCGTGCGAAATTCGACAACGCCTTGATATTTACGACACCACTTACATAAAATACAACCACACATGCATATACAACCGTTAGCGCTCAAGACACTTCATAAACAAGTAATACAGCAACCTCAATATGATTATAAATCAATGCAAATTTAAACATTAAATCCATACATGTGTGTATGTAAGTATGTATCAATTAAATATGAACAACTGTGCAATAATACATGACATAGTGAATTAATGTCTATGCCTTCTGCGTCAGTGGTTAAACGCCCAATGGCAGTTATGGCTAAACTAGTTGATAGCTAGTGGCTGCGAGCGTGTGTATACGGCCTAAATTGTTTGGATTTTGTGGTTATAAATATTGTTTATAAAAATTTTACATATTAACATACATAAAAATATTGCACAAAAGTGCTGCTAGTGGCAAGAATATGATACAAGAAGCAAGTATGTCGGAAAAGGCAAATTTTGAGATTGAGGAAATGCTCAGAAAAATAAATTGAGTGGGGTTAATAGAAGCCCAGGGACTAATAAGAAGTTATGAATACTAAAGCTTTAAGCCAAATTTCCATTTTTACTTTTGTATGGAAGCGTTAAGGAACCTTAACCCAACTTAATCTTAACTTCTATCTAGAAATCGTTTATTTTTCTAATACCAACCGATTGATCCTTTTACCCTCTTTACTGCTTATTTTCATAGCCACAGTTGTAAATGCTTATTTTAATTTATCGCCATCCATTAGTATGGCAACTACAAGCCAAATCGCGTCCACTTTATGCCAAATAAAATTAAATTCGTTGATAAGGAAATTATGCGCATAAATGAGTGGAGTGAGAAAACTTGTTATTGTTGTTGTCGCAAATGGCTTTTCAGTTGAGTTTGCGATGTAAATTGTCACAGTTCAGCGTGTAAATGTGGCAACTATAGTATGTATGTTGAAGTGAAAAATAGCAGAAATTATGACTTTGAGTGGACAGGTGGGTCAAAATTAATTCCTGGCAATAAAAGATTTGAAAGGAAAACGTATGAGCTATTGAAGTTAAACCATTGATGAAAGGTGAGCTTTGAAAAATCTTAATTTGATGGGGAAATGTGCGGCAGTTTTGAACTCTGCTGACATATGTATTAATGTGGAAACTGAAGAAAAATAGTGCTAAAAATTATTGCCAAAAGGGAAGACGCAAATGGAAAGTGGGCGCTAAGCAGTGAAGATACATTTCGGTTGCTCTTTTATGCTATCTTCCTGAGCAATGCGTCGTCTGGGATGCTAGAGTAGGATTGTGCGGCCTTTATCGACCTTCTAGATGAAAGGTACTTGACCAGGGATATCAATTTGTTGAAACATTTCAAGGCCCAGGGACCGAATGGCATCATATCAGCGCAGCGCAAACATTCATCAAGAGCGCAACATGCTTTTTGTAAAGGCAAGTCAGTGGATACTGCCCTGCATATTATCGTGTCATGGCTTGAGGAAGCAATTAGATATAAATATTTCGCTGTTGGGACCTACCTTGATATGGAAGAAGCTTTAAATAACGTCCCGCCGGAAGCAGTCGTAACTGCTCTGGACAATTTTGGGATTGAATCAAACCTCAAACACCTCATTTTCAGTCTTCTGTGCGACAGAATGAGCAACGCACGTGCACGACAAAGTGTGAGTAGGAGAACCCTACAAGGTGGAATTCTCTCACCTTTTCCATGGATTCTGGTCACGAACTGCTTAAATAACTCGAGAATCGTGGCTGATTGCCTAAGCAGTTGATGTATCGCGTATGTTCAAAGGAAAGTTCCTGAGTATCGTATACGTCTCGCCGTCAACCCAAATGAAACCCTTAAAATTTCAACCACTACTCTTCCATTTCTAAGCTTCATTATAGCA